CTGTTCTTTGCATTTGGAAACTGCACCCCACATTTTTTGGCAATGTGGTTATGTTAAAAAGCTTTAGTTTGATGCTTCTGTCTTTATAAAAAAATACATTGCTTCATTTTAATTTGCATTTTGAAAACATCATTTTTGGATATTTTAATTACAAAGTTTTTAAGACCATTATGAATCAAATTTTAGATTTATAAAGGGCTAAACACTAATGGACCGGTTATAATTTTTTGTTTTTTAATTTTCTTTGCGACATATTCTAATGTGTCAAAACAAGAAAACTGTAGTTGTAAACACCTTTTTTCAACATAATATTTCTTTTATTTTAAATAATAAGTTTATTTACTAGGGAGACAATGACATGAATAATCAAAAATATACATTTGTTCGCTTTAGGTCTAAATTAATGTAAAGTGATATGTAAAGTGATATGTTGCTCTGTTATTATCATTAGGAACTGCGTAAATGTTTTCAGTTTTCTTTCCCTGATTAGGGAATTTATGCTGCTGTAAAAATGTTGAACAGCTATTGTATATTGTATACGCATAGTGCAGTGTTAACGTTCAAGCTATTTATTATGTTTAAAATGGCTGACAATAATAAATATTCCTAATAATAGAAATTAATCTGCCTCATTTTTGCACAGTGCAGAGCTTTGGCTGCTTAATTAGGCATACTACGCTACTGCATTTCAATATATTATGGTGGTACTTGGAGAGACATTTTTTTCTGAGGTGGTACTTAGTGAAAAAAGTTTGAGAATCACTGCACTATTTAATTGACTGTAAACAATGTTGTACTTTTGTAGCCATTGGCTAATAATATGATATCCATGTGTAGAATTAGCAATGAATAATTTTCTGAAGGTATATTTTGAATGAAAGTTATATAAAGGTTGAATGTGCAAATATGAAACCAACTTTAACGTTCCCCAATAATGTCAAAGCAGAAACACACGTCAAATGTAGCCTACTTATCAATATAGCACGTCTACCTAATTATTTTGATAAATTACCTTGAACCTGATATTGCAGAAGAGTCTGTTGACGTTTTATCTTGAAGCTCGAGACAAAATATTAAGTCATTTTAGCTAGAATTGAGTAAAGTCGTCCTTAGGTCAGTTTGTGTAGGTCCAGCATGAGATTATAAACAAAACACTTCCGGATGTGAACACCACGCATGCGCCCTCTGCGTTCTCTGGTTTATCTCAAACCTCATTTGCGCTTTCAATGCGCTCACGATAAAACCACACGAGGGAGCTCTGTCACAGAATAAAAGTGTTTATTGATCGATTAAAGGCTGTCTTCGGTGAGTAAGCTTTATTATATATAAACAGCGGACTCTAATAAAGGATTTGAGAGAATATATGGTGACACTAACAACGGTAAGTGGTATAATATCGTGTGATAATCTACATCAGGGGTCACCAACATGGCTCAAAATAGCTCACCATAACACCACATAAGAGTAAGCTGCATCTAATATTTTTATATGTATTCTTTTTAAATCACACTTGCATTGATGTGAATTTGAAAATTACTTTAAGTTATATATATACTTTAAAAACAATTACAGACAAATGAAGTGTTGCATATTGATATTTATCTAACTTGTTAAATCATTGTTGACAACTACTGTGAGAAATCATTAACATGATTAATGTCTTCACAAAGATGAATATTATTAATTATTAAAAATAACATATAATTAAAAGTAAATTAAGAAAAATGTGTTATTTAATAACTGGTAGCCCTTCACACTAATCGGTACCCAAGAAGTAGCTCTCAGTTTCCAAAAGGTTGGTGACCCCTGATCTACATCATCTACTAAAAACAAAAGAAAAGATGAGGAGTAAAATAAATAAATAAATAGTCTTAGTTTATTATTTCCCCTACTTACATATGTATTTCTGTGCGGCTGTGTTTTATCTAAATATTTTATTATTGACATTGAATTACTTATTTAGTAACTGGGCTACTTTTCAGACAGTAATAAAAATATACAATTTAAATACAATTAAAGTTATGTAATTTGTAATTACAAAATTTTTGAAGTAACTTACGTTCACAACCCAAAAATATATAAATAAACAATTACTGTTACTAATAATAACACATTTTTAATTCAGTCTTGCTGTTTTGTTTAGTGGGGCGAAGCAGTGGCGCAGTAGGTAGTGCTGTCATCTCACAGCAAGAAGGTCGCTGGTTCAAGCCTCGGCTCAGTTGGCGTTTCTGTGTGGAGTTTGCATGTTGCCCTGCTTTCGCGTGGGTTTCCTCCGGGTGCTCCGGTTTCCCCCACAGTCCAAAAACATATGGTACAGGTGAATTGGGTTGGCTAAATTGTCCATAGTGTATGAGTGTTTGTGTGAATGTGTGTGTGGATGTTTCCCAGAGATGGGTTGTGGCTGGAAGGGCATCTGCTGCGTAAAAACTTGCTGGATAAGTTTTTCTTAGACCCTGGATTAATAAAGGGACTAAGCCGACAAGAAAATGAATGAATGAATGTTTAGTGTGACGGAGGCCAGCTAGTAAGTGCTGTGCTGCTAAACCTCAATCCTGTGACCTCTAAAGGTGTTTTAGCCTCCTTGGTAGAGCAACTGACTCCCATGCGGAAACTCGCCGGTTCGATACCAGCTTGGAGTGGGTTGGGTGGTGTAAGACTGGTGGGGTTAAATTGGTGCCGTGACCCGGATGGGAGGGAGGTTTAAGGGGGTGAGTGTAAGGGAGGCCAGGTGGAAAGTGCTGTGCAGGTAAACCTCACTCCTCTGACCTCTAAAGGTGCTCTACCGACAGACGCTAGAGGCCATGGTCTTTAGCCTCCCTGGTAGAGCAACCGACTCCCATGCGGACAGTCGCCGGCTCGGAGCGGGTTGGGGGACGTAGGACCGGCGGGGTTACACTAGCATAAAAATGTAGTGTGAATTTGGGTAATCTGGGACACCTAAGCTTCTGTGTGTTTATTTCTGTTCTAACAAAATTCAGGCAACAGGACTTATTATAAATTTAGCATGGACTTCATGTGAGTGAAATCACATGACTTCATTGGGGGGTTCCATAGAGGGGGGGCAGGGCACTTGTCAATCAGAAAGCTCTCATCAAAATTGGATGACAAAGTCAGTGACAGGATTCTGACAAGATTAATGTTAAGGACATGAACCTGTCATAAATAAGACAATCTTCACAACTGTTGTCAACTTATGTTTGTGATCTATTCAAGTAACAAAATTTGTATTAAAGTGTTGAAAATGATTTTTAGAATTTTATTATATAGCATTCACAAGTTTAGTTAATTTTGACTGACATAAGCAAATGACAATGTTATGACAGCAGAGAGTTGTATGAAAGCAGTTGATGCATGTCTAAAAGCATCTGCAATATGTTGGAAGGAATGAGAAACTGCTACTATGATGTGCACAAATGACTAATTGTTTAGAGAAATGCATTAACTGTTGTGCAGATGTAAATAGTGTTGTGAGAAATACACCAAAGCGACTGAGAAAAACTATAATATAATACCATAAATATCATAATACTAACCAATATAAAATACTTATGTTTCCTTAATTTCTAATCTATTTTCCCTTAAAAATGTATAATCAGACACTAAACTTTAAAATGTCTCCCTCTCTAATTCTATATAACAAATAGAAATGTGCATGGCTCAAATGTAAAGAATTAAAGATTAAAATGTAAAAAAATTATGTAAAATAAAATTAATAATTAATTAATTATAAAATGACTAAGCCGACAAGAAAATGAATGAATGAATGAATGAATTAAAAATAAAAATGAAATTAAAAGATTAAAAGAATTAAATTAAAGTTTAATTTCTATTGTCTCTGCACTTAGAATAATGGTGAATATAAATCTTTAATTTTAATAACATCATGTTAGATAATTAAATTGCTTATTGAGTAAGCTTATTGACTTTTTATTCATTCATTAATTTTAATTTGGCTTAGTAAATCAAGGCCTGTGTTTTGCTCGGTAAGGTTTTGCTAGTTGGAAAAAAACGTTTTCCTTTTACTGTGGTAGCAATTCAGTCTTTTATTTTCCGTCAGCTTAGTCCCTTATTTCATCAGAGGTCACCACAGCGGAATGAACCACCAACATATCCGGCATATGCTTTACGCAGTTAATGACCTTCTAGCTGCAACCCAGTAGGAAACACCCATACACTCTCTCATTCACACACACTCATACACTATGGGCAATTTATTTCATCCAATTCATCTATAGCGCGTGCGTTTGGACTTGTGGGGGAAACTGGAGCACCCGGAAACCCATGCCAACATGGGGAGAACATGCAAACTCCATACAGAAATGCCAACTGACCCACCTGCGACTTGAACCAGCGACCTTCTTGCTGTAGGGCGACAGTGTTAACCACTGAGCCACTAAATGAATCTGCTTTAGTATGCTTCTGATGTCGTCAAATCATACAGAAACATTTGACCACTGAGTGATGCTCAGTGTGCGTTTCTGTACGGAAATAGGACAAGAACAGCTGCGTGTGTGTGTTTTTCTTCTGTTTCCGGATGTTTGTTCAACTGCGCTGAAGGTTGAAAAGTGACATTGAGCGGAAAGCGGAGAAATGACTCATGTTGAGGTCAATTTTAGCATCACAATAATCTCATGACGTCTGTATATACAGTTAACAAGTAAATGAAAGAAATACTATTTCCACCCTCCATCCATTGAGCTGATCTAGTAATTAGTTAATTAGGCATTTTAAAATAATTAGATCCCTCATGAATGTAAAGAATTAGAGATGTTGCATGTTTATTGCTGGGAGATACACATAATTACGTCTTTATTTTGATGTCTGTTTATCATCTTCTGCCTGCTAGGCTGTTTACAAATATTAAATATATTATTTAAAGGGACATATTAAAGGGACATACATAAAAATACCTGTTTAAATATCAATGTAAAAAATTTAATATGTTTAAAAATGTAATAAATGTAACTTAATAGAACTAAAATATTTGAGACCCATTCATAATATTCATAGTATTAATTTTATCAGTCACAGCATTAATCGAATCTTTACAATAATAATACAAATAATAACTACTATTATTATTGTTGTTATTATTTTTATTATTATTAGTAGTAGTAGATTTATGTACTTATATAGTAGAAATAATAATATAAATGCCTTTTTAAATTGTAGGTTTGGAAATGCAAGTGTTTATGAGCAGCTCATTTTTAAAAATAATTTTATTAAATAAATATGAATGAATGAATTAATGAATGTATTGATTAATAAATTGCATGAATTGTTCTCTTAATTAAAAACACAAAGGAATCACAATTAAACTAAATCAAATAAAAGAAGCAACAAAAATGTTAGTTTCCCAATCCTGCAGCACAAGAACCATTAGACTCACTAGACAGTGAAGCATAAATAATAACAAATCATAATATAAATGCCTGTTAAATTTTAGACTCTGGCTACAAGACGTTATGAGCAACTAATAACAATTCAATAAAGTTAAATGAAACAAATGGTTGAACGATTAATTGATTGAAGGATTGATTGATTGATTGATTGACTGAATGATTGACTGGATGATTGATTGAATAAATGTATAATTAATTGGTTGAAAGAACAATTGATTGAATAAATGAATGATTGAATGAATGAATAAATGAATGAATGAATGATTGAACGAATGAATAATTGATTGATTAAATGAATGATTGATTGATTGAATAAATGACTGAATAAATTATTAAAGGAATGACTGACTAATTAAACGAATTAATGAACAAATGAATGATTGATTGATTGAATGATTAAATTAATTAATTATTGAATGATTGAACGGATGATCGAATGGTTGAAATGATTGATTGACTGATTAACCGAATGAATGGATGACTGAATGATTGAATAAATGATTGAATGAATGGTTGAATGAACAAATTATTAGATGAATGAATAATTAAGCGAATAATTGATGAATAAACAAATGATTGAATGAATGATTGCACCAATGGTTGAATGAACTAATTATTAAATGATTAAATGAATGATTGAACGAATAATTGATTACATGATTGATTGAATGTTTGAATGAGTGAAAAAATGATTGAATGAATGATTGATTGATTGATGAAATGAATGAATTAAATAAATGAATGAATTATTGAATGAATGATTGAACGAATAATTGATTG